AATAGAGATAGGAAAAAGTGATATTGATATTACAGATTAGCATTGTTAATGTGGAGAACACTCTGACTAATGAAAATACTCCACCCATATGTTACTGCCCTGGTGGTGAACCTGTGGGAGTTCCATTTAGAAGCCATGCAAGCAGAGGTGGAACCGGGTGGTGAGCTCCTGTCAAGCAAGCAGCAGGGCTCAGTTCAGCCCTGTGCTTCTCAGGCCTCACTGTTGTCTGTGCTGACTCATGCCTGGTCTTGAAAGGGCCTTTCTGTTCTGTATCCTGACATCCTGCCTCTCTCTCCCCCTAGGCTCTCTTCTTCTCACAGGGTTGCACTGGACTTCTCCTATGTGGACATATTTAGTAATGGCACATTCCCTTCTCCACTTATTTTTCTAAATGTCATCAGCATTTTTTAAAAGTAAAGACCATTAATACCTAATATATTCATGCCAGCCCTCCTTTACTTCAGATTTCTATATCTGATCTTTCATTGTCCAGCTCATTTTTCCTTTTTATATAATTAATTGGTGGTTACAAAAATGAGTCCAAAAACGACGACTGATAAGAAATCACATCAGGTTTGTTTCTTCTTTTCTGAATGTTCTGAAGAAAGGAATGCTGGGCTCCACAGCTGTTTCCTGACCACACGCCTGGATGTCCAAGTGCCTGGCCACACTTCCTATAACGAGGGTCTTGGGTGGACTCTCAGAAGTGTGTACTACCACTTACCTGGGTCAGGTGGCTGATGTCTCCCCTGCTCTCATTTCTGTGAAGTATTATTCACAATTCAGAACCATGTTGTATCCAAATGAAAATATGTCCTTTTTATTTAAAATAAGTCTATGAAGTGATTTCAGAAAGTATTATTTGAATTCTTATTTCTCAAGAAAATTCTGTGCAGAACATTCCCTCACTTTATAAAATGACATATCTGGTATTAAGAAATAGTGATGACTTGAAGTAAAGGTGTGCATTGTGTCTTTTAAGGTCAGTTTATATATTTAGTTCTGTGTAATTTCCACTGTGGTTATATGAAATTTAAAAAGAAGCAAAACTTGTATGAACTAAATTGAATGCTATGTTAAGTGCATACTTGGTTTTTTGGTCATTAAAGGTAGTTCTGAGTAATTTTTAAGGTGTGTTTTATCAGGTTCTCATATATTAGGTTTATCCAAAGTAGCTTTTCTTTATTTACTTAGTAAGCATTATATGGATAAAATTTTTTTGTGTTTTCTTTTCTCCTCTCTCTGTCTCCATTCTCCCTTCCCTCCTTCCTTCCTTCTTTCCTTCAGGAAATCTAGAAAATCCAACCCTTAAATCAACTGCATAATGAAGGAGGCAGACAGAGACCACTAGAGGTGACATATCAGTGGGCAAAAGCGGAAGCAGTGGCTGGGACCTCTTTAAGGTGTTTTTTTGTTTTTGTTTTTGTTTCTGTTTTTAATGAATGGAAAAAGACACAGAATGGCAGCTGATGTTAAACTTACCATATTTGGAATTAGACCCCTCGGAGGTATAATTAATAGATATTTCTTAAATAATAATAATAATGTGGTTATAGAATTCCAATGTAATAGTGCAATGTAATGAAAAATAACTAGGCGTGTGCGTTAGTGACTGCTGCGGTGAGACAAGCCTGCCTTTCTTTGTGCAGGAACCCAGCTCTCCCATTGCCCTAGAGGGTAGTGTTCAGACAGGATAAGACAGTGCAAGTCCTCGGACCTTGCCCTTGCTGGGTCATCACAGAGACAGGAGCTTGGGAATTAAGGAAGTTACTGCACCCTCTTACGGCTCTCCAAGCCAAGATGAAAGGACAAACTGAACAGCTGTCCATAGTTTTATCAGTTCCATGATTCCAGGACATCCCCAAATTTCAATTTGGCATTGAAAATTCTATAAAGACTTCTGATAACTTTGAGTTACAGATACCTTTAAAATAATAGATTGATGATTTCCTTTATTTCCTAGAATTTCTTTTATACATACTTTGTTTACTTTTTAGATTGTATTAGTCCTTACTTAATTTAAAATGATGAATCTGGTTTGAATCAGCTGTTATTCCAAGCTATCATGCTTAAGCTTTGTCAACAGCATTTATTTGTCCTATTATTTCCATCAGAGTTGCCTGTGGAACGTGTACCGTTCTTAAGTTTAAAACGTCAGTTCTTGAGATATACTGTATGAAGCTATTGTCAGCTTCTCTATTTCAAATGCAATCAGCATATAACTATATTATATTAGAAAATATTTGTTTTTTAAAATATATTGATGTATGATAAAGATGATCTAATTTGTGAATGCATATGCGTGTGTGGTTACTTTTTATAATGTGAAATGGATAATGAATTGACTCAAAATAAAACATAGGTTAATGAGGTACCTGTGTTTGTGAAAAAAGTTTTGAATACTTTCCTGCAATTTTTATTCTATCATTAAAGAGCAAGACAGTTCATTTTCAAGTAATGAATAATAGAAGCACATCTATGTCAACTGTAAATTACTCAGGGGACAGTCATTCAGTGTCTTTTTCGTGCCATTTGTTTCCTTTCCTTCCACAAAGCCTCTTTTTGTCCATGTTTAGTGATGTGTTATGTCCTGCATCAGAGGATAAAACAGAACTGTTTAACTGTTCATTTTATCAGCATAGTTCCAGTAAGTGTGAGAAATTTGAGAACACTAATTAAAGGAATTCAGTATGGTTTTTGTGGATTTCATTTAACTATTTTAATTATGTCTCCTACTATCATCAATAATGTGGATTGAACATTTATGATCTAGAGACTTTGTGGTCATAATGGTACATATCAAGGCTGCATTGCTTTTTCCAGTACTTCAATTCAGTCACCTTGACTCGGTTACTTTAAATAAAATGGATAATTTCAATTTACTTGTTAAAAAATAATTTAGGTGAGTTACTAGCTTTTTTTCCCCATCATGGATGTGGGAAAAGGGGAAAGTGAAGAGAAAAATCATCACTACTTGTAAAGTTTAAGAATGTAGAGAAATTAATTGCAGTCTTACTCCTAGGCATTAAATTCTGAGTTATAACAGTCAATCATGCAGGATGTGGTGGCACAGACCTGTAATCCCAGTGGCTTGGGAAGCTGAGGCAGGAGGATTGTGAGTTCAAATTCAGCTTCAACAACTTTGCGAGGCCCTAAGCAACTTAGCAAGACACTGTCTCAAAATTAAAAAAAAAAAGTTGGGATGGGGCTGGGGATGTGTCTCAATTGTTAAGAGCCCCTGGGTTTAATCCCTGGTACCAAATAAACAAAAACAATCAATCAGTCAATCACAATTACTTTTGGAAAATTTTTTTTTCATTAACATGATAACTTCTAAAGTTTTTGAAATTTTGTCACATTAATACTTAAAAGCACAGATTGTAGACACAATAAAAAATGTCGATAGTTATGAATATCCACACAGATCTCCACTGACACCAGAAATAAGACCAATATTCTTATAAAAGTTGTGTTTAACAACTTACTAGGTAGATCCCATCACCAGGTGTAAAGAAAGCACTCTCTCCTCCTGTGGCCCTTGACAGTGACCCTTCCTGTACTGGCTCAGCCCTGTTTATTTCAGAGCATTATGTTCTCAAAGACCTTTTCTCATTTTCATCTCTTAAAAGTGAGAAATTTTTATGAAATCTCTGCTATTTTTACAGATCATATTTCGACACAAATAAACCTAACTGAACATAAATAAGTCGCTTAGGAGTGGCTCTTGGAGTTAGCCATCTTCCTGGAATTTCCTGGTCCTAAAGGAATATCAGGACTTGGACTCCAGGAATGAATTAATGTTCATATTTGAGAATGATGAAGTCAGTCCTTAAAATGCCTCTTATCACCTATTCAGCTTTACTCTAATTTATATTAATAATTGAAAGAACTAACCAGTAATTTTAGGTATGTTTCAACATTATGTAGCAACAGATAGAAATTAATTAGGCATTTGTCAACACAGTTGACATTACAAAATTAGTTAGCTCTGCGGTCATTCCTAGTTCCTTGTTTCTATGTCAGAAGATGACTGCTGGAGGAAGCTACAGGGATATTTTCTGTTTTCTTTTTTATTTAGAGGAAAACTTTGATTTGAGCACGCCCTGACTATTTAGCAGGATCCCATCAGATGCTTTAGGTAGAGGGAAGGAGGAGTAGAAAGGCTTGTGACGGGATGCAAGAGAGGAGGCTTCTGGCTTGCCGTTGCTGCACAGTGGCCTGGGACAGATCTTTCCCTTCCAGAGATACAGGTGTGGCTTATTCCCTAGGTGCAGAGGCACTGGGCCAAAGGCCCCCATGCTGAAAGGGCCCATAAAGATGCTTTACTTCTAGCAATAAGCAAGATATATGCTTTGATAGAATGGTAAATATAATCCAGAATATGTTCATCTTCATATCAATGCAGTTATAAAGTATAATTTTAATATGTATGTATGAATACGTGTGGGGAGATATATGTACACACACACACACACACACACACATACACACACACACACATATTCTTATTTTTTCCCCCTTTCTTATCAGGAGGCCCATGAAGGCAAAAATGCCTGGTGCTCATGAAAGTGACAGTGTGACCCTGTTTGTGGATACCTGTTTCTTTGTGAAATGAAGGTGTTGTGCTGGACTTATTTGTACCAGAAAGAAGTCCAGAGAGAAACAGGGCTCAAGGAGATTATGTACATGTGTTTCCCCTAAGGCTTTATCTCAAAATAGTGTTGTGACTGTAACGACTGTTCTTAAAGTTCAGTGTGTGAGCAACAGAGAAAGGTAGATAGCCCCAGCTCTCCAACCCAGCACAGGTTGAAAACACTGGACAAATTGCAGCAACATCTTAAAATGTCATCAATTTAATCCTTGTGTTCATCTGAGAACAGCCTGAAGAAGCTGAGGACAGAGGGGACACACACTGTGCCATCCAGTGCTGATGTCCCATGTGGGTTCAGATGCCTGATTGAGCACCTGCTGTCACACTGAGAGCTCATGCCGGTTGTGGGTCACAGGAGATTGGATTCACCGCCCTGCAGGAATAGGAGCACCCTCGAGGTTTCCTTGTAGACCCTCAAATGGAATGGCCAGGGCACCTTGGTGACCGGAGGCAGGAAATACAGTGATTTCTGACGGGGTTCCTGCAACTGCCTCAGTGCCTTTCTCATCAGCTTCAATCACTGAGTGAAAAAACCTAGAAAAGGGAATAGTGTGGAAGACCATTCATGTGGCAGTGGAGAGAGAGAATGAATTAAGCCCTTAAAATTCTTGATGGTGGTCCTACCCACTTGGCCACACTCCTGGGATTCAGTGGTACAGGGCCCATCTATGTCAAGAGTCACAGTTTGGGGATATACCAGGGACTCCCTTAGAAACCTAAGAGGGGTTTTTCCAAGAGACCTCAGGAACCCAGTGTGATTGTGTAATATGTAAAATAAGTTCTGTGATTGGAGCCAGGGACCCTGACTGGCACATTTACGCATACGTAGCTATTATTTGTGGAGCCCATATTCTGTGCTGTTGATTCTTGTGTTGAACCAGTGCCCGTGGAAGGCTTTGAGCTGCCTGGGTCTCCTGCATCCTTTGACTTTCCCTGTGGCAGGGTGGGGACAGGGTGTGGTGACTCTGGTGGGAGCTCCCCAGTGCCTGGTCCTGTTCTGGGGCACTCCCTGGGGCAAGCCCGAGGTCCTTGAAAACTTCCTAAACTCTGTTTATACTCAGCCTGTTTATGAAAGTCTTTTGTCCAGGAACCTAATGGAGTATGAATGATGTGTCTTTATAATTATTTTATCAACCTAATAATTCCTAGAAATGCTCTATTTTCTGGGGTGAAAGTTTACTCCCAAGAGCAAATACAGGGTATTTAATAGTTTACAGTTTAAGCTTCATGGAGATGCCATCCTTGTAAAACAGCACATGTCTTCAATTTTCCTTGTGTTTCCAGCAGACTTGTCTAATTGTCTTGCCTTCCCTGGCATGCTAAGGCCTGATGGCAGGCCAGAGTTTTCTACTGAGTCCTGCTAAGGTGGATTCAATTTGTCCTCCCTCTTGGAGTTGAAAGTTACAATTGTATGAGAAAATATGAGCCAACTCCACAGCCAAGGAAGAAGGTGACGAGATGTGGCCCCCACGTGGAGATGTGTGGGGGCATTTTCTTTGTCATAAGGATCATGGGGATAGGGGAGGGCAGAGGGGGCTACTGCTGTCCTCAGTGAACACAGGCCCGGAAGGCCACCCAGTCCCCAACAAGGCACAGAACTGCTCTGGACCACAGGTGGTTCTGATTGTCCTCTGAACCAAGAGCACCTCCCCTGAGAAACCAGTTGGCTGAGGGCATTCTGTGGACTGATTAAACCTGTTCTTAGCAGTTTAGACCTAAAAGTCGGGCCCAAAAAATAGGAGTTA